ATGTATATCAATATTGTTTTCAGTTCAGTGAGTGTTTTTACACTCAACATTGCCTTCTCCTTCCTAAAAGGAAAAAAAAAAAAACCAAAAAAACCCTTCAAATTCACAAGGAGAAAAAAGCAAATTATAAGCTTGTTATTTATAGTATGTCATACATATATGCATGTATAATTAAACTGCATAAAAGGAGCTAATTTAGTTAATTTAAGAACATTTTTGTGGGGGGAATATTTCACATGGTCTGCCAAGAGCTAGTTTTATTAAAACAGGCCTTTTATTGCTTATTCCTGAGAAAATCCACATCAAACGGGACAGACTGTAAAATTACCTACATGTTAAGAACACTGTACAACTCTCTTTCTTGAAAAGGCCTGCAGAGTACTTAAAATAAAATAAAATTAAGGTGCCACTGTTTTCTGTCATGTCTGCTGACATTACCTCTATTCTTTTTGACTGACAACAGATGCAAAGGATGTTACCAGCCAGACCATAAATAGTAACTGCAAAACCCTCAGAACCAGGAAAAGAGGTCAGACTTGGCATGAAGAAATAAAGAGTTGCCAGCCAGTCCATTTCTCCAGAGATCAAGCCATTAGCCACTGTCCCCCACCAACAGTGCACCCAGAAGGGACTTCAGGATGGAGAAAGCCAAGAAGCATTCTGCATCTTACCCCAAAGATAGTTACGATGCATCTCTAAGGTAAAACATCCTGGCCCCTATATAATTAAGAAGCATATCTATGAAAAAATTTCAAGAATCCCAGATTCTTGCATCTTCCCATTCATAGAAAAGTATTAAAATAATTACCTTGAGATTAGTAGTTAGCTTTTTATGTTTGATCATGTGTTTTTCCCCCAGCTAAAAATTTATTATTTATTTATTATTTACATTTATCCTGGCTTTCCCCTTATTTCTCTGAAGCCAATTTCTCAATTTGGTGTTATCTGAGAGGCCATCTCCTGGGCTGTGATTCACAGGAAGGTCCCTGAATACAACTGAATTCACTTTACATTGTGTATTTTTCTTTCAGTTAACAGTAGCCATATTCCTTTGAGATCTTCCAGCAGAGAGGAAGAATCAGCCTGCATAGATTATTTAACATTTTTAAACTGGTTTAGTAATACCAGTCATGTCCAACTATTTGCAACCTCATGGACTGTAGCTGGACAGGCTCCTCTGTTTATGGGATTTCCCAAGGAAGAATACTGGAGTTGATTGCCATTTCCTGCTCCAGGGGATCTTCCCCACCAAGGGATTGAACCCTCGTCTCTTGCGTCTCCTGCATTGGCAGGTGGATTCTTTATCAATTTAATTTAATTTAATGCATGGTTAGTCCCCATTTTGCAGATGATAAAACTGAGGCTCTGAGGTCATCCAGCCAGTTTTTGGTGAAGCTAAAATTTACAACTTTATAACTTCAGAAGCTCAGGCTTCCAGTATATTTTTCAGGTACAGTCTACAAATTCTCTGGTCATTAAGTTGTGTTGTCTCTTTGCCAGCTGATGTTAATATCATCATAGAATCCTTCCAAGTTGACACAGATTTAAAAAAAAAAAAAAGCTCAGGATTCAAGAGGCCTGGATCTACTACCAGCTCTGCCTGTAACCCAGGGGTGTGCTCCAGTTTCCCTAAAAGGTGAGGAGACTTCATAGCCCCAGCAGGTTCAAAATGAAGTAGATTTCACACCTTCCCCTCCCCACAAGCTGCCTGGCTCTTCCCAGGGGAACAGAAACTCCTGGTACCCAAGTAGTCTCCCAGGGTGAGAAGTGGGGCCATGTTAAAAAAAAGAAGTGGGGCCAGAATGACCATCCCAAACAACAGTGAACCTAACTAGACAGTCTCAGTAAGATCCTTGGCTTCTGATGAGTCATAGACAGCCACCAAGCAGGTGGCTGCACCAGTCTGATACTGTTGAGGCTGGTTTTTTTTGTTGTTGTTTTAAATTACTATTTAAAAAATTTTAGGTGGAGCCATTTCTCATTACTTTCCATGGCTCTGAGTAGGGTCTGCTCCATTATTTCTCTTCCTCTAAATGCTGGCACCTGAGATTCTAGGAGATTCTGTTACTGACCACCACCCTTGGACCCTTTTAATCAATAGAAATTGATAAGGAGCCAGAGGAGAAGTTCAGGCAAGAAACTCCAGCCCCAATCAGCTTCAGCCCCAATAAAGGCTGAGAAACATCAACAACCTCAGATATGCAGATGATACCGCTCTAATGGCAGAAAGCAAAGAGGAACTAAAGAGCCTCTTGATGAGGGTGAAGGAGAAGAATAAGAGCTGGCTTAAAACTAAATATTAAAAAAAAAAAACAACTAAGTACATGGCTTCTGGCTCCATTACTTCATGGCAAATAAAGGGGGAAAGGTGGAAGTAGTGACATATTTCCTCTTCTTGGACTCTATTTTAGAGTCACTGCGGATAGTGACTGCAGCCATGAAATCAGATGTTTGCTTCTTAGAAGAAAAGCTAAGACAAACCTAGAGAGTGTGTTGAAAAGCAGAGACATTACTCTGCCCACCAAGGTCCGTACAATCAAGGCTATGGTCTTCCCAGTGGCCATGTATGGTTGGGAGAGCTGGACCATAAAGGAGGCAGAGCACCAAAGAATTGATGCCTTTGAACTGTGGTGCTGGAGAAGACTCCTGAAAGTCCCTTGGAGGTCAAACCAGTTAATCTTAAAGGAAATCAACCCTGAATACTCATTGAAAAGACTGATGCTGGAGCTGAAGCTCCAGTATTTTGGTCATCTGATGCGAACAGCTGACTCATTGGAAAAGTCCCTCATGCTGGGAAAGTTTAAGGGTAGAAGGAGAAAAGGGCGTGAGAGACAGCTGGATGGCATCACCAATCCAATGGACACGAACTTGGGCAAACTTTGGGAGATGGTGAGGGACAGGGGTCCTGGCATTCTGCAGTCCATGGGGTTGCAAAGAATCAGGCGCGGCTGGGTGACTGAACAACAACAGTTGCGTCACCAGGGAATAAAAGCAAGAAACGGGTACGCTTGTGAGCTCTTGGAGGGAAGCTGCATGGGTCCTTGACTGGTGTAACAGTAGGGATGGATGAGTGGGTTTGGCAAAAGGTGTACCTTATTACGGGATTCCCAGGTGGCACTAGTGGTAAAGAACCCGCCTGCCAATGCAGGGGATGTAAGAGATATGGCTTCAATCCCTGAATTGGGAAGATCCTCTGGCAAAGGGCATGGCGCCCCACTCCAGTGTTCTCGCCTGGAGAATCCCATGGACAGAGTTTGGTGGGCTACACTCCATAGGGGTGCACAGGGTCGGACAGGCTTGAAGCGACTGAGCACGCACACAGGTACCTTACTATGTCTGTCTTTGGTGGTGCAGTGTACAGGGATCATGCATAGTATCCTGCTTTAGCTCCTGGCACCTCAAAAACTTGTAGTCTGTGGCTTTTTTGTATCCTCTTGCTCAAGGTTATCTCAACTGTGCATGTGTGCAGTTATTTTTAAGTCACTTCTAATTTCTTTGTATCCTACTGCTCAAGGTTGTCCAGGTGCAAGCACTCTGGAAGCCTCTCTCAATTCTAGAAGAGTCTGTGCTGCTCATAATCCAAGCATTGGTTCCCATGGACTTTTCTCTTAGTTTCCATCTCCTCAACTGCCAACAGACACTACTTTGCTAAAGGCAAAGGTCGAATTCGTGTCATGCCCCAGGGGATCAGACACGTGCATTCCAGTCCCTGTATTGTTTTTTCAGCTTTACTGTTAAACTTTGGGCAAGTTATTTAAACTGTCTGAGCTTCAGTCGCCCCATTTCTAAAATATAGAGAATAATCCTTATTTTAAGGAATAAAAGGAATCTGGCGCAAAGTTTGCACTAACAGAAATTCCTCTTCTTGGGGAAGTGGCCATGAGGAGAGCAGATTTAGGTAGGGAGAACTCTTTCTGCATGTAACAAATACCCGTGCTCATTGGCATCCGACTCTTTGTGACCCCATGGACTGTAGCCCGCCAGGCTGCTTTATTCATGGGATTTTTCCAGGCAAGAATACTGGAGTGGGTTGCCATTTCCTCCTCCAGGGGGTCTTCCTTCACCCAGGGACTGAACCGGCGCCCCCCGTGTCTCCTACATTAGCAGGTGGATTCATTACCTCTGAACCACCTGGGAAGCCAGAGGGGAAGGAGGCATGCAAACTAAGTCCCTGGGCGAGGGTGCGCTCTCCTGTGAGTGGTGGAGAGACCGGAAAACACGGAAGCACATAAAGGGTTCTCCCTGGATCCCTTAAGGTGCCATGGTAACGTGCCAAGACAGCTAAGTGACCAGGGATTCGTAGCTTGGGCAGAGGGAATCTTACCAAAGTTTGAGAAATTTTCTTGGGAGATGAAAAAGATAAAGGGACTTCTGCAACAGGGGTCCCGGGCATACACCAGTTCGGCGCGAGGCCGAGCATAGACTAGCACCCGGCCATCCCTATCTCGCCGGTTCAGTGCAGGGCACTCGGAATCGCTCATTAAAGGCTCCGAGCTTTATTGGAGTCAGCAACCAGCTCTTCCACCGGAGCCGCGGACTAGGGGCGCTGCTCCCTTCAGGGCCGGAGACCGAGAGTGGCCAGGCCGGCGCAGGAGCGCGCTAGTGCCGGGCCAGCCCGTCGGCGGTCGGACTTCACAGTCCAGCGCAGCACCGAGGAGTGATGACCACTGCCTGCTGCCTGACGCCAGCGGAAGTGCGAGCCCGGGCAGAGCCGGTTCGGAAGCGGTGCCGCGGGAAGGGGCGGGAACAGGGAGGGGCTGAGGGCGGTGGCGGCCTGACGGGGCGGGGCCTGGGGATGCTGGGCGGGGCCTGCAGCGGAGGGGCGGGGCTTCGCGGCGGCTGTTTTCGCCCAGGCCTAGGTCCCCCAAGCGCAGCTGGGGCTGCGCGGCGTGGCGGCGAGAGCGGTCCGCGGACTGACGCTTGAGGCCGGAGCTAGCCAGGAGTGCCGGAGGAAAGCTGCGAGCGGGCGAGCGCGCGGGTGGTGGTGGTCGGCCGCCGCTATGTCAGCACGGTGCTGTGCGGGCCAGGTGAGCAGAGGGAGACGGATCGGTGGAGACCTGGCCAGGAGCCCGAGGCACCACGGGGTTCCCCGGGTGTGTGCCCCGGCTCCGCCGCCGAAAGTGGGGCGGGTGGCCCCGCGCCGCCTGGGTGAGTGCCCCGGGCCGGAGCGCGGCGCTCAGCTGTAGAGGAAACCCTTTGCCTCGGCGGGCGGACCAGAGGCACACGGGGGCAGCTCGAGAGGCGACCCCGAGGTCTTCTCGTTGGGCGTTAGGTAGAAACTTGGCTTAGGGTGGGGCAGGCAGGGTTCGGGCGGAAGGTGCCAACTGTTTCTGGAGCGTGTCGCGTACTCCCTAGGGTGCGAGTGTGTTGGGCCGAGCTCCGTAGGCCAGCGGGCTCTGCCAGCCCCATGAACCCAGGAGAAGACGTGGGTTTGGGCAACCACTCCTCTCCCATGCCCTGAACGAAACTCGGCTCGTTTGGCCCAGGCGGATTGCGCTTGACATCTCCCAAGGCTCCAGAGCTCTGGCTCTGTTCATTCGAGAACAGAGAAGCCTGCTTCCCAAACCGCAGGGCTCAGGTCTGGACGCAGGGAAGAGTCAGCCCTGCTTGTTGAATTTCCCGACCCAACCCTGGCTGGACACGAACGCGCCGCCTGGGTAGGAACCTTGAGCCTTCTCATCCTCCTTTCAGCTGTGAACTTGCCCCCTCCTTTCAGCTGTGAACTTGCCCGAGCCTGTTTGTAAGTCTCGCCTATTAAACTCTCGAGATCCTAAAACACCTGTGCTCGCTTGGGATCGGCTTCTACCGTTTGGCAGTGCGTCAGGGCAGAATTGGTAGTAGGTTTCAACCTTTAACGCTGCTTTCATTCCTTCTTGCAGAGTTAGGAAGAAGTAGGTAAAGTCTGCCAGACGTTGCGCTCCCACCTTCCCAGGCTTGTTGATTATCAGCATTTCCTTACAGAGTTTTAATGGTTCGTTTTTTCTGGTGAGTCTAGCCCGGCTGTCGCTGCTTGCTGGTACGTTCCGCCTTGGGACAATCAGGCCAGCCCGTAAGCGATGCAGGGGTTAAGCTGTGGGTTTCTGTATAGCCGCCGATTAGACTGGTAGATAATCCGACCTCTTTCCATGGCCCTGTGAAGTTATCGCTTGGTTTTTGAGGTCTAATACTGTCCTTGGCACGCATTCAAGCTGGTCTTTTCAGACATGAGGAAATTGAGGTTTTTAACTTGAAGTGGAATGACTTGCCGTCAGTCAGGCACAGCGACAAGAGAGGGCACTTAACGCCTCTCAGGGCTCTGGAGACCAAAGTGGACCTCAGAAGGCGGCTTTCAGAATATTCCAGATCTCGAGAAGGCTTTGCAAATTGTTCATTGTGGTTGTTTTGAGGGAGTTCCATTTTAACGTGACTAGTTTACGGGTATCGAGGTACCTGTCCTCCAGTCGCTTGAAAGCCCCTTGAGGCTTTCTGTGGCTCCCAGTGGGTAATTTAGAGCTCAGAAAATTATTGCCAGTACTCAAGTGCGTCTTGTAAAAGAATTATTGGTATGGTTGATATTTTGGCAGGGTTTTATGACTTGTTTCTAAAATCCCCCTCTCAGGACTTTGGAAAGAACCAAATCCTGGCTGTTCATCACAGGGAAGTTAACTTCTGCTTTCTTGGGACTACTTGAGGCTTCACTGTGGTGGGTCTCAATGCTGGGAGGCGGATGATGACGATATTATTTCATATGAATGAAACTGTGAAGTTTACATTAAAACACACACACACAGCACCGTCAGAAAGTATCTAAGTCTAGACATCCTTAAACTTTTTTGAGCACATGTGTATTATTATTTTTACTTACATCACTTCTGACATCAATGTACGGACTCCCCTCCCCCCTACTCCATACCAATCAGTTCCCCAACTCCCCGGATAATAACTGGATGTACAACAATACAGTTTAATTCTGACATTACCTGGATGTCAGATATCCCCCAGGCTAGGGGCCTAATCCCACAACACCACCCTCCTCCCTGTCTGGCTCCCCACACACTTCAGCTGCCAATATCAAGTCTTCTGGGCCTCCCATCCCCAAGTAGAAGACCAAATAAATATTCCTGATTATATCACAACATCACAGCACCTACTGTGTGTCAAGAGCTGGAGATAAGGCAGTGAGCCAGACAGACATCATCTCTGCCCTTAGTGACTGGTCCTGCTGGGGCAGGGACAGGGTGGCGTTATATAAACGTTGGAGCAATGAAACAATAATATACTGTAATCAGTAAACAATACTGATACTGTAACAGGTCCTGGTGGGCAAAGCGGCTTCTGTAGGGTTCTTGGGGAAGTCTGCTGAGAAGATGCCCTTGGAATTGAGACTGATGGAGAGGCACCCATGTGAGGGTCTGGGTAGCGAGCCTTCCAGGCTGTTCGAGGAACAGGGAGGTGTTGGAGGAGTTCAGGAGGCTGGAGTGTCGTAGGTGAGATAAAGCGGCAGGTGGGGCCAGGTGGGGTCGGTCATGATGGAGTTTGGGTCTTATTTCTCTTACAGGGAAAGGTGGTTGGGGGATTTTGAGCAGGTGAGAACTGTGGCTTGATTTACACTTAGAAGATGATTTTGGGCACCATGAAGAGTTGAGTGTGTCAGGGACTAGTGTGGAGGTGAGAGTAGTCAGAACCTTTCATTCAGTGATGCTTTTAAACCCCCTCCTCCTGGCTGTGAGCAGTGTTCTAGGCTTCTGCAGTGAGCCAGAATCCTTCCTGGTGGAGCTTGAATCCTGGCAGTGAGTCTGCTGTTACGGTAGGCCAAGGAGAGAGTGCACTCCCTTAATTTAGGGTGTAGTAGTGCTGACGGTGGGATGGTGTTGGCTTCTGGGCATATTTCAGAGGTAGAGCTGGACTTTTGCATGGGTTAGAAGTGGGATGTGGAAATAAGAGATTCTGTTTGTGACCCGGGCAACTGAATAGATGATAGTGCCTCACTGAGTTGAGGAAGAAGGATATTTGGCAAGGGAAACCCATTGTTTTCTTCTGTCTTTGCTACATTTGAAATGCCTATTAGAAGTTAAATAGCGATGACCAGTCATCAGTTGGATTTTTAAGTTGGGAGAAGTTTGAGGTTGGAGATAGAAATTCGGGGGACCTTAACTGAAACAATGTGTAACCCAGAAAATAGCCTTTGACTCAGGTCTGGGTTTGAATTGGGAAATTTGGACACTGAGGGCTGGTGTGACTGTGCATATTATTTACCCTCAGCTTACCTCAGCTGTTGAATGGGTATGATAATATCTCCCAGGGTTATTGGGAGGATTACATGCAATAATGTCTCTAGTACAGGATTTGGTACAGAGTAAGGGACCCCACAGATCTTGGTGGCCACTACCCAGTTGCACCTGGACTGTTTCCAGGTCATTTTATTTTTGCTTTGACTCTGATACACTTAGGTTTTGCTTGGGCTGTTGGCTTCTAGTGTGTTAGTTGCTCCGTCGTGTCTGACTCTGTGACTCCATGGACGGTAGCCCGCCAGGCTCCTCTTCCATGGAATTCTCCAGGCAAGAATACTGGAGTGGGTAGCCATTCTCTTTTCCAGGGGACCTTCTTGACCCAGGGATCAAACCCATGTCTCCTGCATTGTAGGCAGATTCTTTACCATCTGAGCCACCAGGAAATCCCAGTGGATGCTAATGGAAGCAGAAATCACAGGAGGGTGGTCACTCTACACCTTTTTTCTGGGTACCCAGCCCTGTGCTAAGGCCTCTGGTCAGTGAACAAAGTGCATCCTTGCTGTCTTGGAACTTAAGGGGTAGTTGGGGCTGGAAGCGTGAGGTAGGCTCACTACTGAAAAATGACAGGACGCCCTTTCAGAGGTGAAATATGTAGTTGGAAAATCTAGGTAACTGCTATCAGGGCAATTTGAGAGTAAGGCTTGGCAGGTTTTACTCCAGGCAAGTATAAGCATTAATGATAATAGTAACAATAGCGGAAGCTTATTTCATGTCCACAAGTGTGCTGTTTTTACCTACATTATATCACTCACACTTCACAGGAACCCTCTGGGGTCCAGGAACGTCCTTTTGCAGGTGAGGCAACTGAAGTGCAAGACATGGATTAGCTTGACTGATGTTTACGTGGTGGTGGAGCCAGGCCTTCAACACTGTTCCACCTGACTCGAGTCGGACCTTTTAACTGGGAGATTGCTATTCCTTATTATTCTAAATACAATATGAATAAACCATGAGGAACTGCTGCAGATTGTTGTTGCTCATAATCGCCCTAATAGCTCAGTTGGTAAAGAGCTATAATGCTTCCCTGATAGCTCAGTTGATAAAAAATCCACCTGCAATGTGAGAGAGCCCAGTTCAATTCCTGGGTCAGGAAGATCTGCTGGAGAAGGGACAGGCTACCCACTCCAGTATTCTTGGGCTTCCGTTGTGGTTTAGCTGGTTTCTTTAATCTGCCTGCAGTGTGGGAGACCTGGGTTCGATCCCTGGGTTGGGAAGATCCCCTGGAGAAGGGAAAGGCTACCCACTCCAGTATTCTGGCCTGGAGAATTCCATGGACTGTATAGTCCATGGGGTCTCAAAGAGTCAGACACGACTGAGCGACTTGCACTTTCATAGTGACCCTAAGGCAGTGTTAAATACATTGGTATGTGGCTATCTTGGTAGTTATTGGCAATTGTCAAGAGTTTGGCGAGGTTTAGCTTCTTTCTCACAGTGGTCCAGGTTATAAAGACAGTAAGTCTCAGACCACATTCTGCCACTGGTGCAGATAGTTTTCAGCAGGCAGGCACAGAACAGGTACACAGCCTGACCAGTGGCTTCTCAAAGTTGCAGCTCTTTGTCCTTCTTGGTGAACCAACATGCAGCTTTCATGTTCACCTGTGGCAGATGTGATAACCTTCTAGAAGGAAGAACTTGCCCAGTACTGCCAAAGCATAGGAGCTCTTGGATAGATCAAACCCATGGTGCCGCTCTCAGGCAGAAGACTCACTTTGTCCTTGTAACCAGTTCATATAAGGGCAGGGATGCCAAAGTATTTC